GTCATCCTTTAAGGTAAAGTTCCAATCCCATTTCTGCCAGGAGCTTTTTCCCACCTGTAAACTATGTCTGATATGGTTCTTATCATGATATACTGTTTCGTGTACTTTTTATCTGTGGTCTTTATTTAGTTAGTTCATATCTTTCTTAATATGATTTTCCTTCTTTATTTCTATAGCACAGATCTCAGTGCTCAATCAATAAATATTTGCTAAGAGATTTATTCAGAAACAGGAGTATAGCAGTGGTTTCATAATGTATGTATAATGCATCAATATAGAGAGTTCAATTTTAAATAAATTCAAATCTTGATTTCTATGCACTAGGGAATCACATGAGTATAGAATATTATAGAATCATGGATTTTTAGCCTTGGCTGGTTTCTTATAAATTATTAAGTCCAAGCTTGTTTCATTTTACACATGAGGAAATCACTCATCTCTCTGTAAGACATTAAACTACTTGAGACAAGGAGTCATTTTCTTAAACATTTCATTTCACACATAAAACAATAATCTTAGTTATCTTTGCATTTTATGGTAGCACCTGGTGCATACATGATAGGTTCCCAAATGTTAGCTGAACGAATTGTTTCATGAAAATCAATTTCACAAAGTGGATATTTAGAACTAGACATTGTGTGGACAGCCTGTGCTCATGTCTTCAACTTCTCACAGCTCCACAAGGGACACCACTCTTTACAACTATCCCATTGGCTTATTTTGCTGAATCCTCCTCGCTTGAGATCTAATTCTTACTTCCCATTCATTCTTTCTGAATGCCATTTGGATTTTCCTTAAGCAGATCCAGAATGGGACATGTGGATACCAGTTCTTTTTGACTCCTACTATATGTGCTGAATCCTAATTATGTTGTTATCTTTGCTGTTAAAATCTACAATACCCTCCATTATGTAAAAATAGAAGACTTGTGCTTTTACCTCCCTTTTTGGAAAGGTGATTTTGCTAATGTGGTCTGCAGAGGAGAAAACAGTAGACACCTGACCAGGAAAGTTTTTCTTGGCCAATAACTAGGAGAGACTTCTTAGTCTCCATTTTGATTGTAAGGACTAATTGTTAACTCATCTTGATTCATTATTTTTAAGTTTTAGAAACAAAATGATATACTAGAGATAGAATTTAATTCTTTAATTCTTGAAGGTTCCAATTACAATGCAAGGGTTGAGGGAGAAAACCTGAGCCCCTCCAAGAAGGTGCTCAGTTCCAGTAAGTTACTTTTTGTGCATTTAGAGCATAATCCAAATACCATGGTTTAGATTTATTCTCATGACTGTATGTCACATCTTGCTACTTCGGATATGTTGCTCTGTAACATATTTTCATCCAGAGGGAAAATCATACAGAATCGATTTTAGACATTTCTGATTGAATCTCACTATTTTGCAAATAAGAGAATTGAGACTCAGAGAAATTACTTGTTTAGGGTGATTTGATTGGATTGATAATGACAGAACTGGGACTAAAATTGACCATGCTACTTCTTTCATGGCAGCCTTTGGTAACTATCCTACTCTTTCACTTTCCAGCCAATATTTGGAGTGATTTCATGCCCATGTAGATGACTCATCTTACATCCGAATGCCCAGTTCCCTAAATCCTTCATCTGTTGTAACTTTCACACTGACCTCATGTCCATCACCCTCTACCATAGACCATCTCATATCTATAACTGTCTCTAAGTACAACATTTGATTTTCTTTTATTCATTTAGTTCCCTTTCTCTGATCCCTAAAGGCATAAGGACTTGTATTCCCTTTGTGCCTTTATTTTCTCTTTTTCTGCCCTCTCCTGTGTCCCAGTCCTTCTCTGCCAGGTTAGATTCCAAGATCCATCTAGTTAGCCACTCTTTTTTTTTTAAACTAATATCCTCAACTCTCTTTATTGTTTTTCTTTGCACCTATTTGACAAAAACCTAACTTTGAATCTGTTTTCTTTTTTCATGCTTCCACCAGGGCTGATGAAAGACAGTGGAGAAAATCCCATAGCGGGGCAGATTGATGACTTCATAACAGTAGTTCTCAAAAAGTGATCCTCAGACCAGCTGCATGAGTATGATTTGAGAACATGTTAGAATTGCAAATTCCTAGGGACCCTTCAGCATACTGAATCAGAAATGCTCAGAATGGGATATAATAATCTGTATTGTTAGGTAATTATGATATAGCTTAAAGTTGGCAAAATTACTCTCTATTAATTCTTAGTCCTTAACCTCAACTGGGTATCAACATTGCCAATCTTTAGATGTTTTTCCAAATTATTAATCTTCTATTTTTTCCACATCAGCTTTTTCATATCTTTTCCATTCTCCTCAAATATGTGACAGTACTCATCTCTCCTCACTCCCCAGAGGTTATCACTCTCTGTCATATGTTAGCTGCTGTTTGAATTTCCTCAAACTTCTGCCACAAAATCCTCAGATTTACTATAGTCAGTTGCAGTGGAAGAGCCTTTGTATGTAGGGCCAATCTATATACCTGTGTTCTAGATTCCTTTCCTTTCAGCATTGGGGAGTTTTCTGCTTGCTCTTCACTAAGCTCTCTCTCTCTGCTGGCATGCTGCACTCAATTTCATCACACTTTGCATTCACATACTTTGGAATTTTGATTCTATGTGTGTGGAAAAGCACTGTAAGGTTTTAAGCAAGGAAGTGGCATCATTTGACATATAGTTTATAAAAATTTTTTATCCTTCTGTGGAGAACAGGTTGCTTGAGACAAGATTTGAAGCAAGAAAACTAGTTTAGACGTTATTAAAAAAAAAAAGTCTAAGACAAGAGATGGTGGCTTAGGCCAGGATCCTTGTGGTGGAGATATAATTAGCTTTGGGCTGTGATTTTCAGGTAGAACTAAAGGGATGGGGGAGGGGGCCAAAGGTAACCCCAGTCTTTTGCTTCTAATAACTATTTGAACAGTGATGTTGTTTACCAGAATAAGGAAGGCTGGGAAAGAATAAGATGCCTGGAAAAAAAAATCAAGAATGTTTCTGACCATGCTAAATTTTAGTTGTTTACTGGAGATCTATGTAGAGATAAGTGGCTAAGTACTTGAGTTTAGAGTTCAAAGAAGAGATCAGGAATAGAAATGAAGATTTAAGAACTTTTGGCCTATAAGTAATATTTAAATCTCTGGTATTTGATGAGGACACCTTGGGGGAAGTGTGTAGAAAGAGAAGGTGGCCTAAGACAAATCCCCGAGCTACCTCAATATTTAAAGTAGGAGCAGGGAAGGGGAAATTTCTAGTACAGAAAACTGAAAATGAGCAATTGGTATATTAGGATAATTTATCAGAAGAAAAAAGTGGTCAGCTATGCAAAAATCTGCTGAGAAGTTAATGAAAATAAGAACAGAGAAGTAATCACTGGAAATGGCAATGTGAGCCGGGCTCGGTGGCTCAGCCTGTAATCCTGTGCCTTTGGGAGGCTGAGGTGAGTGGACTGCCTGAGCCCGCGGGTTCAAGACCCTCCTGGGCAACTTGGCGAGACCTCAACTCTACAATAAATCAAAAATCAGCCGGGCGTGGTAGCACGCACCTGTAATTCTGGCTCCTTGGAAGGCTGAGGTGGAAGGATCACCGGAGTCCAGCAGGTCGAGGCTGCGGTGGCCGGGAGCGGCCACTGCTCTGCAGTCTGGGTGACAGAATGAAACTCCAACTCAAAAAAAAATGACAATGCAAAGGCCTCCGGAGGGCTGGCAAGAGCGGTCACAATGGAATGCTGACAACAGAGGTCTGATTGGAATGAGTTGAGGAAATCATGTTATTGAATTAGTCCTGCCTAATCATGTAGTCCTGCCTAAGGAGAAGCTGAGGCACTTATTTGTCCTTTACTCTAATCCTTAATAGATTCCTGAAATCAACATAATTCTAAGATCGGGTACTTAAGTTCCTCAAACTGATTCAGGCCTTTGTAGAAATAGGAGCAGTTGTTAAAAACTCATGTTTGAAAAGTTTAAATGAAGGTACCATAAATTTTAACAGAGCTGGAATGCTAAAAGTCAATATAGAATTCTGTAAAATTAAACTGTCTTTGAAACAATTGATAAAGTGGTTACCATGCCAAAACAACAATCACAACCACTATGACAAGATTAGCTAAGTAACAAGAGGTACACTATTAAAAGAAATTGAAATCTGATATTACCTGGGATAAGCCAAGTTTCTTAATGTGATCAGTCCATAGATATTTGAGAGTTGGCAACACACACTCTCTCTCTCTTTCACACACACACACACACACACACTTGTTCTCACACCATTTTTATTAGTCTAGTCCTTTGAGATAGTATATTTAATTTCATGGTTGATAAAATATGAAAAATAACATCCTTATCGCATCTATTTACCAAGTCCCTAATGTGGTTATACAGGAACGAACATTTGGAAATGAACAGTATAATGATTACAATATTAGGAAAATAAAATATGTAAAGAAGCAGGTTTTACCTAAATCCCCAAATTATAAAAACTGTTTATCAAGCATCACAGGCACTGAAAATGGAAACTGGCCAAACACCAAAGAGTATGACTAAGTAAAAAGCAGTAAGACTAAGTAGAAAGGACTGTTGACCATACAACTAGTATAGACAATTATTGTCAGTGAGCGAAACTATTAAATAAGAAGGGGAGTCATGTATCTTTTTAGTAAATGGTCGTTTGTTACCAGAATATTATACCCTATGTACAGTTCACTTGTAATTGCCCTAATGCAAGATTCCTTTCATGATGGAGCATTTGGAAGATACTCTTTCATTTGGGACTTCATACATGTAATCTCATATAATTCTTTTGTTCATTCATTTACACTTTCCTATTTTAAGTTAGCAAAAAAGTATTGAGCACTTATTATGTGCAAAGCACTATATTGGTGTTTCCTTAAATATATGCATATAAGAAAGAAATAAGCCCCAAATGATTTCATCCTTATGTTAGAATGAATTCTAGTGCTGTTACCCAAGGGGTGTGGAACCCAAATATTTAGTTCCTACCAGCTCATGACCCCCATCTTCTTCGAAGTCCTCCTCTATCCCATCAGTCATCTCTTCTCCATCCGCATCTGGCCCTCCTTCAGCAGGCTCCTCTGTAGAGTGATCTGCATTCTCTGACACACATTCGTCTTGGATCAGCTCTATACGCTCTTCCAATTGCTTCTTCTGAGCTTCTAGGGGGAAAAAGCAAATGACTACTACCTTGGGTTGCTCATGAGCCATTTGGACATACCATGAAAAAACACTCCATAAAAGGGTAAACTCTGTGTGCCGTTAAAGGCGTATAGAAGATAAGGTGATATTATGTCTCCAATTGAATTTATTCAATCTTGTAAATTGTGTACATATATCTACATGCGCTTACATGTAGGCATATTCATTTTAATGAAACTAGCAAAAATGAGGAAATCCAGATGGTAGCAATACGTAAGTAAGCAAAAATTTATCTAAACAGATTGATATTTCTGGTTACTTTATTTTATATATAGTGCTTTATAATAAGGGTGTTCTTTCTGACAGGAAAACAGAACAAAAACAAAGAGCAAAAATCAGATACAACATAGAAATTATTCACTCAAGGAAGGATGTTGGAGAAAACTCATTGACAAGTTTAAGTGGAAAAGACAAACAAAAACTCACTGAGGGGAAAAGTACAAAAGCAGATATGTTGTTTTTCAACATATCTGAACACTCCTTTGGAATTGTAATGTCTGAATTTTCTCGGCTGATGTGATTAACTGCAGTGGTTAAGAACATGAGCTTTGGTGTCATCCATCCTGGGTTCAAAGTCGAGCTTCATTACCCAATTGATTTGTGATGCTGTGTAAAGTTGAAATGATTAACGTTTCAAGTGCCTCAGTTTTCTTATCCATGCAATGAGAATAACTCCTAAACCTTCAGAGTTTGGAACAGCAAGTCAAAGTGTTAGTATAGTGATTTGCAAATAATAAGTGCTCAAGAAACAAAGCTACACTCTACGTTAGTAGAATTCCCTTGAGTTGTCACGATCTATGCATTTCATTTACAGAAACCTGCCCAAATGAAAATTATGCTGACAGTAGAATAGATACTTCCTCTAGTGGTTGACTTTCATTTCTTGTGAAAATATCAAGAAACCCTGGATATCAGATAAATGAGATTATCTTGTATTCTTCCTTCTCAAACTTGCACCCCTGTGTTCATGACTTGCACCCCTGTGTTCATGACTATTCAAAAGTTGGGTTGTTTTCACTAATTTTTATTTTTGTTATTTCATCAGGTAATCATTTCACCATTTCATTTGAGTATTAAAATGTGCTACATTTTGAGTTTTTTAATTGATATTGTATGGCAATAAAGGTAGTTTAAAGAGCTAGAAAGTTTGGAATCTTCATTCCTGGTCTTTTTCATAATGTGAGTTAACAGAAAAATAAGCATTGATATAAACATTTTGACTCAGTTCAAAACTTTTCAGACATAACTAATATGTAAATCAACAAACTGATAAAAAATAATGTGGACATAAGCAGATACTCTTTCCTATAAATTGTTTAGAATTTGTAATAATAACTACTTCTATAAATAAATGCAAATCTATATGTTCTTGCATTTTAATTTTCCAAATGATAAAATTTATTGAGAATAAAAGAATGGTATAGGGTGTGCCTTGGCCCTGCTGTCAGAGGACAGGATTCTAGTGCCAGCCTAGTTACTTACCTGTAGAATTGCAAACACTGGGCTTGAGTATAAGTTTTGACTATTTATTTGATTAGGTCATTTAAATCAGGTCATTAAATCATCCTTTCCTCAACTATACCTACTTCTGGAGTTTGCTGTGAGAGTTAACAGGCCTTCAACTGGGAAATGTCTTGAAACCACAGATTATGTTAATGTGTACTATTATATATACTCTTCACTGTGAATATGATGAAATAACAACAGCAATAACACAATACAACAAGAGGCCTAATCAGATCAGGGAATAACAATGAAAACACTCGTGGGGCTGAGGCCTTGTTTCAGAGGAGGATAAAAGCTGCTAGATTCAACCAAGGTTAAAAATGATTACTATGGGCACCTTCAGATGACCAAAACATAGGTCCTTTTTCTTTAAGAGAAAGACATTTGCTTTATACGCATGGACCACAAACTATATATTCCATGATTTTTTCATCAATTTATTAGCTTCAACTTTCTTCATTTAATAACTTTTATGTCAACATGTAATAACTATTTCAGTGAGGATGTGAATTCTGCTTTGAAAACCACAGTTTTGGATTGCCTGAGCCCACGGGTTCGAGACCCACCTGGGCAGGCGAGACCTCATCTCTACAATAAATCAAAAAATTAGCCGGGCATGGTAGCGCGCGCCTGTAATTCCAGCTACTCGGAAGGCTGAGGTGGAAGGATTGCCGGAGCCCAGCAGGTCGAGGCTGCGGTGGCCGGGAGCGGCCACTGCACTCCAGTCTGGGCAACAGAGTGAGATTCCAACTCAAAAAAAAAAAAAAGAAGAAGAAAGAAAACCACAGTTTTTACCTTCATATGCATGTACAAGTGTATGATGGAAACAAGTAGGTCTATATAAATTTTAGCATAGGAAGTCCAATGAAGACTATAAAATGGTTATTGTAAAACATAAACAAGATTTTTTTCTAAGAATAGAAAATTATTATCCAAACTAAGCAAGGAACAGTGAGTTAAAGAAAAAAATTGATTTAATCTAGAAAAGAAGACCCAGGTATTTGGATTAAAAGAAAGGTAAATTAGGCAAGGGATACAGACCAAAAAACACTCTCAATTTAACTCTTATTGAAAATTTCTAGCTTTTATTCATGTCATTTTCCTTCCATGTATTATTCAATGCGCTCTATAATTCTAGACCTTTAATCCAGGCTCACCCACCTCATCCCTATGACCAGGACCAACTGAGAAAGCACTGAAAATTTTTGAATCTTCTGACATGAATCACATCTCTTGTTCTATCTATTCTATTGTTTCTAACATCGTGGATCCTTTGGGTTGCACAATGGATTTGGATACTCTGGTTTTGGCCCTCTACTCTCTCTCTTAGCAGTGACTTTTGTACTTATCATCTACCGTCTTGCTTCTTGTTACTTCTAGGTCACTTTACTGTTTATTGAAAATGCCCTGACTTTCAAGACCTTGGTGTTGGTACCTCAAGAAAGAGAGAGGAATGGAAGTTTGGGACTGCCATTATTCTATACAGTGAAAAATGCCCAGAGTCTTATAACTTTTTCTAAAACCAAACTTTTGCAATTTTAGGTAATTGTGTTTTTATTTTTGTTACAATACATAAATGGACTTTTACTTAAGACTGACATTATACTGAGAATTCAATTGATCTGGCATATTAATTTCTTCTCTAATAATTCCAGTAATATATGTTTTCTGAGAAGCCTCACTTTTTGATGTTGAAAGTTTCATATATATATATAAAACACAATATATATATATATATATATATATATATATTTTTTTTTTTTCTCCCTAGAAAATCTCTGGCCAAAGAAGAATAGCAGATTTTCAAAGAATCTTTGTAGGACCATACTTTAAAGATGCACAGTCCTCACCTGACTTCATGTATCAATTTGTTTCAGTTTGTATCAGGATAGCTGACTTTCTTGATCTTCTTAGTTGAATGGAATCCCTTCTTCTTTGACAAACCAAAGCTCTGATCAAATGCTGTCTTATAGCTAGTTTTACTGTTTTCTTATCCTTTTCTCATTAGTGTTTAAGCTTCCTGGAAGTTGGAGCTATTGCCTTACAAGGTCATTGTTACATTTGAAGAGGATGAGATAGATGTCGATCTTTTGTAAATTAAAACACACAATAGAAGTCAGTTATCAAGAAGCATTTTGATTTGCTCGAACCCCTCACTGGATGCCTTGCACATAGAAGAGATAATATAAAATATTAGAAAAGATATAAGATTTAGGATCCATATGTTTGCCAATTATTAGTACTATTAATTCTAGTTTTCTTCTATAAAAGGTAAGCATAAAAATAGCATCTATTTGAGAAAACTGTTGTCTGCTTTGATGAAGAAAAAGATGTGAATATGTTTTTTAAACTGTAAAGACCACACACAAACATGTTATCATAAAAGGCTCAAAATAGTTCTTGAGTTAAATTTATATTGATTACTTGATTGTTATAGACAGATTTTCCATGTCAAAATCATTCATCACTATGGATCATTAAGAATCATTCATTACAAAGATAATTTTGGATTTTGGCTTTGATAGGATGTTTTTATTTCTATGTTTAGACAAATATAGTGTATTAAGTTACTCTCTTTTTTTCTCATCAACATACAACATGCATGCAATTGCCCTGGTGATGTTTTTCTTTTCTTTTCATTTTTTTTTTCATGCTTCTTATGCTGTTTTGCAAAGGGAGTAGAATATTAATACAGTTCAATGCAAAAGAAAAAAGAAAAAAAAAACCCCAACAACAACAGCAACAACAACAACCCTATAAATTATCTTCATTCTTCCAATCATTAACTTGAATACTAAATGCTTGGAAGACATTATCTGGACTGAGAAAAGAAAAAAAAGTTAATTATAAGGGTATTTGACTCATAGGCGTTTAAAAGAAATACAATGATATGTAGTCAGCATAGACTTATGTCATCATCTCAATGGAAAATTTATAATGACTAAACAACGATAAGTTCCATCAATAAAAATCACACATGAAAGCACATTTTGTTTATTAAACTATTGGTGCACAGTTTAACAAGCAGTTTGATCCAGTAATTATCTTGTTGGACTAGAAAAAAATAAAACATCTTGTTCTATTTTTTATGAATAATTACCTAATTTTATTTCTCTTAGAAATATGTAATGTTACTTAGTTTAGGTTTGTTCTTTACATTCTCTTCACATTTATAACATTGTTTTTAGCTGTATAATTCTTTTTCTAGTTATCATTTTCCTTTTATTATGAATGTGTGTGGGTATATATGTGTGTTTGTGTGTATGTCCATTTATATCTCTGTCACTAAAGTTTCTTTGGGGTACAAACATTTTTACTCATTTTTGTTTAACTGGTGACCAATTCAGAACCTTACATACAAATTAAATGTTTGCTGAATATATTCCAGAATTGCTGTGGAATCAAATAATGAAAATGAATGTCTAGTTGTCAAGTTCTTTTCATAGAGTCAAAA